TATATATATATATAAGTAGATACAATATATATACATAACTAAATACACTAATATATCATTTTTTTCAATCCAGCATTAGTATTTTAAATAAACTTATTACGGTATTATAGATTTTAATATAAGCGTAGACTGCGTAGTATACAATTAATTATTTTGGTGAATTAACCGTGGTTAAATTATAGGTAGATCTCATTTGATGGTAACAGATATTGGTGGAAAGGGGAAAGATACACCTTTGGTGGAAACGGGTATTGGTGGAAAAGGGAAAGGTCAACTTTTGGTGGAAACGTGTTACGYCCATTAKTAAGTATCTAAAATTAACTATGTAAGACGTTTGGATCGAACTATCCACAAATTTTGCAAATTAATTTTCATCTTAACTATATTGAAATCTTCAAAATGAATACAATTTTTATAAACACGAATAATCAATTTAACGTAACAGTTCAAAATACGTTATATAGGTAATAATTTAATTATTCATTCTTTTGATATTTTTCTTACCCCGAGCTGTTTGAAATTTTGAATACCAGTAAAAGTAAGATTTTCATTAAATTACTTTAAGTGCTAAAGCCACGGGCTATTTAAGCACGAATCTTAGCATATTTCTTGTTTACATTGTTTTCAATTATATATGAATTATTAATAATGCCTAGAATAGGTATTTAACTTATAATATATATGCTACATAGTTTAGTATTTTATTTGCATTTGCGTATATGTAAGTGTGCTTAATTTATTTAACTTAATACATATTATATTATCAACCTTATATAATTAAAAATAGGGCCACAGTGGTAAGGTATATTGTATATTAGGTACATTAAATGTTACAATTACTGTGCATAATTTAAATTACATAAATATACAGTATAAGTACATAATACATAGGTTTCATATTTTAATTTGTCTACTTAAACCAATATGTAGTGTTGGTCACGAAGACGATATTTACACTGTACCTACCCAGTAGGTACCCATACTGTGTCAGCGTTAAATTATGCCGTTAAAATTATGTTTTGGATTTTTTGAATTGTGTTCATGTGTTATGCATAATTAAAACGAGTCTCTAAAAAGAAGAAAACTCGATTGAGAAAGGTGTCAATGTATAGTACTTTAATACGCATTGTCGTATAACTCTCGCCATAGAAATCTAAACGTTTATGCTGAGCAAGTATATTATGTAATATGTACATTTACATGTATATGTATATGAACGTAATTTATATTACCTACTACCTATTCTATAACAAAACACGACCTTTGATCTGAAACCAAAAAAAAAAAAATAATATTTATATACATATCGTGTGGACTTACTGACCTTAATTAATGATACAATTTTACACTGTCATTCTATACCTTATTGTAATCGACTAACTATGTATAACATAACATTTGATTAAGAGCACGAGAAGAAGAACGATATACCTACCAGTGATCCAGTAATCCTTCAATTCTTGTTCACGTTTTTGTTTATCACTCGTCTTGTTCAATTCATTCAAATATTATTTTTACAAAAACAGGTAAGTAAACAGTCATAAAATACGCATATATTTTTATATCTAATATATATATACATGTTGATACTTGTTTATACATTTACATCATTTGTATATGATCATTACTGTATTATGAATATAGTTACAAATTATAATTATAAATGTTGGTGAATTATATTATAATGATAATAATAATTAGATAATTATCATTATTAATAATAGCAATGTTAGGTGGTAATAGATACCTAAATCATATGAGCTATTTACAAAAACAAATACATTAATATTGTTTAATGTTTATTATTTATGTATTTATAGTTACGGACATAAGTCAAAATACATAGTACATAGGTAGTAGATAATTATAGAAGATAGAAATTACAAAATAACTTAATAACTAAAACAAAACCAACCAAAATATATTGTAAAATGTCATATTTTGTATATTTGACGTTTCTTACACACTTGAAGTATTTTTTTTAATATACCTATTATTATAATTTCTATACATAACTAGTTATCAAATTTCAACTGGAACAGTATATGATATACCTATAGATGCTCTAAAGAGAACCCTTAAAAATGAATTGGATTACGTAATTACTATCCAAGTTTTGTTGTAGTAGGTATTCATTAGATGTACTAGTCAAATTTGCATTAAAAAGTTATAATTAGTAGGTTTTTTAATTTGTATACATAACTTGGGCGGGTACTCGCGAAAAGTAAATTAAATAATAGAATTTTTAAAACTGTACTCTTATATTTATAAGCCGAAATAAGTGCTATGGTCTAAGATAAATATTTTTTAAGTATTTGTGTTTTTGTTATTTGGACATAATAAAATTAAATCTATTTTTCATACAGTTTATGAATTTGTTTCAGGAAAAGCCAGAAYTTTTATTCATATTTAAATTAAAAATACATTTATTTTCACGTTAATTAATAATAACTAATACCATCACTATGGTTGTTTAGAGATAATTTTATGGCCATGTATAAAAAAAAAAACTTATGAGTATAACACTAAAACGTAAATGTTACATTGTTACTAATCTATTATATTCGATTTTACTACTCGATTAATTACACAGACATATTTTTTTACACGCGTTTTTAAATTAAACATTTTTTTAATTATCGTTCTTAAACAGCAGACATTTTTTTTTTCAATCGCATAATAATATATTATTATTATATATAATATATTGCAAGATTGAAGCGTGGTCACTACATTATATTGATATTGAAAAATAAATAAATAATAATTATCAGTAAATTGGAAATGATTTATACACTTTATATTAATAATGACGTTTATTCAAGCAATGACTTGGTTAGTCTCGCTGACCATCGTTTGCTTGGCAGTGCAGTGCGGCACTGTTGCAGTGCAGTATCCGGAAGATGTGTACAGCAGCTTGGCTTTTGTTTTCGATACGACGGGTTCCATGGAAAATGACTACATACAGTTGAAATCACACGCGGAGAGCATCATGACTTACGTACTGGCAAGGAACAACACTGATATCAAGCATTTCGTTTTCGTACCGTTTAACGACCCAGGTATAGTGGAAATACTATATCATTACCGATGTAGTGTAATCTGTATGTATATATGATATATATATATATATATAATGGTACATTTAAAATGTCCCGTAGTAGAAAAAGAGAAGTTTATCTATACATTAAACATTTAATAATAATATTATATTATATATTATGTGTGTGTATGCGTGTATGAATGTATATTATAATAAGTAGTGTGAGAAAGTCGCACGACAAACGCAAAAACGATGTGACACCTCGAATCGTATGAGACTTTTGCAAAAATTATAGTGCTTATTTTTATATTTAAAATAATATTCTTATATTATATTGTTTTGTTGTATATATTATTACATTTACTTATTGTGTTTTTGTTAATACAGATTGTAAATTTTCTAAAATAAAAAAAAAAAAGATAATATTCTAAAATTAATTTTGATAAACCTAAATTTTGAAGACAGAAATAAAAATCTTTATTAGGCTATCATAGTGAGTACGCATATACTAGCGACCACATTAATTTAAGAAACACTTAGTATATATTATTATAATATATATTACAGAGTAATTGTTYTGTTGTTAACCTGGAAATATCTTAAAAATACAGTCTTTGAAGTATAATATAGGTACGTACAGTCTTTAAAGTATAATATACTTAACATAACAATAATGCATTATTTTATTATAATGCACTATTTTTATTTTAAAAATGTATGTGGTTTATATATATATATTATATATGTATATATTTTTTTTTTATAAAATACAATTTCTCAGAATTTATATAACTCTACAAAAGAAAATTTGTCTTTTCAGTAGTAATTTTTCGACAAGAAATATAATTTACCAAATTGTTTGTTGTTTTATAAATTAAAAATGTTATTACATCTCCGATGCATTTACACCATATTGCTTTCGCGTGTAAAGTAAATATTATAAAAGTTTCTTTTCTTTTATGCGCATTTAAAGTAATGATACCGGAATAAAGTGCTATAACAGAGTTTAAAATAACTATTTTTGTTTTTCTGATCGTATACCTATACGATTATCTGTAAATAATAACATAATATATATTTTTTTTTCTTAAAACAAAACAATATCAAATTATCCGCTAACTTATGGATAAAATAATATTGTAGAATGTCTTAGATGAATTGTTATGGTTTTTTTTTGAACAGATGTAGGACCTGTGACAGAAACTTTTGACCCAAAGATAATTATGTACAAACTGAATCAAGTRCTGATACGCGGAGGTGGAGATTGTCCGGAAATGGGCATAACGGCAGTGATACAAGCATTAAAAGTTGTGAAGCCCAATTCGTATATATACGTATTTACTGATGCACCACCTAAAGATTCGCATTTAGTTTACGACGCCCTCGAGTTAATCCAAAGAAAACAATCTCAAGTAATTAATTAAAACTATATTATCGTTGGCAGTCTTTTGCATATGTTATATCGCAAAATCAAATTAAAATGAGTTATAGCTTATATGTCTACTAGTTTTTGTATAGGTAAATATTAAGCACTTATTATTTTTTAGCATAAAATAATATTTGGTTATTTTTTTTAAAAGTGTTAGTTAAGTACTTTAATACTTAACTAACTTTTCGAATAATCATGTCAAAATTTTATAATTTAAATTGTTGATTTCTGCCGGCTCACATGGGCTCCTAATATACACTTCAAACGTTTAACGCTCAATGATGATCGTAGCCATGAGCTTCTACACCTACTGACCTCTAAACATATTTATCTGAACAACTAACTAATTATATACAAAATGGATCTGTAATCTGAGGATCAGCGAAACCTACTAACATCAATAGAATACAAACCTATCAATCYAAAATTCTAAGACAAATCACTAAAGCGCCATATTTCGTTTCCGATCACACACTCCACGACCTCTCCATACCCTTTGTACCCTTCATACCAGACGTCGCTAAAACACACTACAAAAGATTTCATAACCRCCTTTWAAACCACAGAAACCCACTCACGCACGATATCTCTTCCTTGAATATCCCTAGAAATCATCCTAAACGGCTCAAGCGTAAATAGTGTAGAAATCTACTGACAAACTAATATTCAATTTTAATATTCATGTTTTTTTTTTCATAGTAGCTCCACGGGGAGGCGGCTTCTATACTCTGTTTAATCTGTCATCTTTATCTATTTGTTCATTATTTTTTTTTCTTCTATTACTTCCTGTTATTCTTTTTGTTCTTTTTTGTAACAAATTGAATAAAMCATTTTAGAAACAAAAAAAAGTTGATAATTCACGTCCCTCTATYTAACTGTAATATTTTAATCATCTCGATGATTTGTTTTATCGTATGCAATACTTAAAATATATGTTTATATTTTAAGTAGAAAACGACTTCTAGGTATTTTTAAGTTTACATTAATATCTGAATTTTTAGATGCCTAGTGGATCAATGAATATTAAGTCAGCGGACACTTTTAAAAGCAAAAAAATGTTTCAATCTTAAATGTTGAGTGATGATTTTGGTAAAACATTGGAATTAGTTTGTAGTATGATGGGGTTGGACATGTTAAAAAGAAAATATTCTGTTAGATTAGTTATTAAAATTGTTTAAAAAGTTTCACCTTCAGGTTTCAACTATATAGGTACCTACTTAGTAATTTATTGGCAGACACACCGTCTTTGTTCAGAATTATTTTTCGTTTTTAATAATCTGATATCATTGAATTCAAATTTAATACATTTATTACTGTGATCCACTCGACATCTATAAGACATTTTTTTTTGTAGAGCGATATACCCTTCTTTTTAATTTTATTGTTATAAATATATATTATATCATATTTTTAAATTTGATTGATTGTGTCTAAATATAAAAAAATACGAAATAAATTAATTATTATAGTAAATCCATTTTCTTTAAATATTATGTTTCATAATAAAATGACTTAGGTACTTCAAATTTTAATTAATATCTGTCTTGTCAAATGGAAATTGAGGTTAATTGTTTTGTCATAGCGTCATGCATGCCGATATAATATATTAGTATTGCGTATTTAATTAGTAATTCGCTTATACAATCAAGGATTATAATTATAGAAATGTTCACATTTCACAGATGTTCAGTTCTAAACTATTTCTATTATTATATTTATTTTTGCTGTAGTTTTAACTCCTATAATATTATTTTAGTCGTGAATATACATGTTTTAGTTTCTCAAATGATATCATCATAATTTGTACCATATGAATCAAGTTTAGATTTTAATAATTATATATTTTTAAAGTATACAATACAAAGTTAAAGTGTATTATATAAGTTTCAGTCATTATAATACATTGTTTTATACCTAGTATGGCACCAAGTATTTCGTACCTTTTTTTTTYCCCCGWTTAAACCGACAGCAGAGGAGGATCTGTATGAACACTACTACTCTTCTGCTGCCATCGTTTATTAATGTTAAGTAAAAACGCTAATAAATACACATACTTAATACATAACTAATTATGGTTGCTTCATCTTACAAATCAAAATATTAATACAATAGATACAAGTATTTTGTACCTAAAATAAATAATTCTACATTTTTTTTAGCTGTCAAAGTTAACCATGTTTTGAATTATGAGCGTAGAAATAAATAAATAAAATGGTTTTACAATGCTGTGTGTATGTGCGCATTAAAAAAATGTTTAGGTGTATGATAATAACATTTTTATTTCATATTAGTCAAAAAGCTTGAAAATTTAACACGTGGTTCTTCATAAAGTGATTTTCGGTCATTCAAAAATATCAAATCGATGAAACATATTACTATTTTTTTTTATAAACACTTGAAGTTCATATTGTGACCAAATTCTTCAAGAGGACAAATATTTGCAATCATTCCTTTTTTCTAAAAACACACTACACTATACCTAGAAAAATGTAGAAGAGCAATTTCGTATTCATAAGAATTTTACTCTGAAAGTTCCAATAAACAACTACACTAAATGGCTATGAACTATACACTTTTGAAACGTACAATGTTTTTTTTTTGTAACTTTTAAAGTACATAATACATAAATCAAAACAAATTAGATTTCCATGTTAAATTTGATACGCTATTAGTCTATGATAAAACATTTAATCAGTCTATTTGTTTCATATATAATAATAAAATATATWTAATTATGAGTGTGTCTTTCTTGCTTTTTCAAGATTATATATCATATAGACTATAGACTATGATATAGTTTAATATTTCATTAAAGTAAATATACGTGTTTTGGGAAGTCTATGTTTTATTAAACGAATCGAAGAATAATTAATTAAACCACAACACACATGAACGATTGTAATTTGATAGTACTTATTGTAGAAAAAATATGTATAGGTGGTCGTTTTAAGAACAATGCACGACTGCATATCATCGGATAAGAGCTACGAAAATATAGCATCATTGGGATCAGGTAATGTGTTTAATGTCAACAAGGAAGATGTATCAAAAGTTCTGCAATTTGTCAAGACATCAATGGACATAAACAGAGTAAATTTGATGTCTATCAATATCCCACAAAAACAATTGGTACCACTCCCGAAAAGACTGAATATCGACGAAAGCATTAAGAGTCTACAGGTCTCCGTCTCGGGACTGAATTCTAACATTGGCATGGTAAGTCCCGTAGGTGAGGAAATGGATGAAGCACATGGGTTGATCACTGATTTAGACTTGAAAAATGTAAAAATCGTCAACATTCTGGTAAGTTGTTRAGTTTTTTAATGGTCATTATTTTGTTAGATACTATATAATTTATTTACATTTTAATCATCGTTTTGCTAAACATATACATTTTTTTATTGATTATGTTGGTTATTAATTCTTATACTATTTTTATTTAATTTATGACGTAGATGTTTATAATATAATATAAATGTTAAATATTGAGTAACGTTAATGAGTATTTTATTTTACTAAGGAACCCATACCCGGCGAATGGACTTTGTACATTACTAGTGAATCTGCACATACGATTCGTGCTTGCGGAATCAGCACAAAGAATTTTGATTTCGGATTTGCTATTGCAAAACCAAAAAATATGACGCAAACTAGCCACAGACCACTCAAAGGTATTTTGTTTATCCAAACATACTGAATCATCAACTGAACAAAAATAATAGTAATGCTCAAAAATACGATTAAATTAATATTAACGTCAACTGATTTGCACAGTACATAACAATATGTAGGGAGAGTGTGGTATGCAAGTTAGCGAGACGGGTAAAATGACGAATTRAATAAATTGCTTAACAATAATAATGATATCAAATATCAATTCATATTAGTAATTGATTGCATACATGATGTTACCAACACTTATTTCTCGATACCGAAGTGATTTTGATAAGAATTAAATATTTTATTAATGTTTCCCCTCTAAAACACGTTTTGATAACATTGTTGGTACATTTAATGTAAAAATTTCTAAAGCACCATTATTATAATTACTAAAAAAAATCGTGTACTTTAGAAAATTTTCAAACTATATTTTGAGTTAATTAATGATAAATATGATAAACCGAATTKACTRTTGGGCTGATAAATAATAAAATCTTTTAAGAAATATATGTGGAGAAAGATGACATTACGTTGTTAATTTTGACCGAATAAAGGTTATTGACTCATTTAAATTTGTTAATAATTGATATTTGATTGAATAATAATGTTTATAATAATGTGAATTTCAAATTTTATCGTGTATACAACTTGTATAAAAATGCTTGATGGAATAATATAAGTTAATTAATTCCTCAAGTTAGTATAATTTAATTAAGAATAATATTCATTAATTTACTTACAATAATTTATTATAATATGTTTAATATTATCATACGTTAACTATACTTAATATTTATTCTATATTTCATTGATTTATTTATGGAATAATAATATACACCACTACACCAGTCAACTTATCCCAGGTATAGCAGTAAGATAACGAATTCGGATTTTTTTTTTTTGTAAAATTTACTAGTAACAAACCCTTTAATATGAAGGTTCAACGTTATTAGTTTATTWTATATTGTTCTTGATATTTAACACAAAATGTTCAGTCTAATATTTAATGGTGTAAATATTTATCATTCCATAGGTTCGTCAACTTATCACACACTCCCTACTTCTATGACATAGACAATCATATTATATATAAGTTATCTTAGAACACAGAATATAGCATTTATAATTTATTCATTTAAATATAGTTTTTGTAATTGGTTGGTAAGTATTAATTTCATTGCGATGTTTAGAAATGGCGTAGCCACTAACAAGTTTGTAGGTTCGTTTTTAAAATAATCGATAAACTTACTTGTACCTACCTGCAGACTGAAGTAGGTATACACACAAATTATTCAATGAAAATCTACCTTTTGATTTTAAACTATAACCATTTCGTTGTTTAGAATAAAAATGTATTTTGTAATAGAAAAATAAATTCTAAAATAATAATTACAAAAGAATTTAAAATATAGTATTTTAGAATTTATATTAGTATTTTTAAAATATCTACAGTACCTACATTTTGGAATCTAATTTTAAATTAATAGAAATCATCATTGACTATACATCCTAATGTATAATTAAACCTGATAACAACATTTTTAAATGCATTAGAACTAGATATTACTTAATAATTACCTATATGTTTCATGTAGTAAAGTAAAAATAAAATATTAAGTTAACATAAACAAAAACATTTTTAATACCTAACTCAATGTAATTCTGTATTATAKGTGCCAAAAACTATATATTAGTAGACTGTCCAGACGTTAAGAAATTTGTATCTTGTAAAATTCAAGATTTAAGCAGTGACGGTAAAACAGAGGCATTGCCAATGTTAGAGTTTAGAAAAAATTCGTTGTTATGTGGTCCATTTATACCCAATGATAATCCGTTTTACGTTCAGGTAAATATACGTATTTCATTATTATGTAGAAAATAGTATCTATAGTACCTTAATAATACGAATACTTAGGACAATAAAATAATAATAATTAGAATTCAAAATGTAGTTTTTATACTTATCTAGTAATTATTGATTAGAAGTACATCTACATGTAYGGCGGTCTCTATGCACGGTATTATATTGTGTTCAGAGCGTATCTATTATATAACAAATTATTATTATTTGAATAACGTAATAATATATTCTATAATAGAGTAAAAATTAGTTTAATCGACTTTAGTAACTAGTTATTTAAAGTTTAAACGTACGATACCTAGAATGTAATTCTCATTTCTCGGCATTCTAAAT